CCCCTCAAGCGGGCACCCGCCCGCCCCCGCCGCAGCCACCTGCCCAGAGTACGCACCGTTGGCCCAGCCGTTCATGTGCGCGTAGCCGGAGCTGGCCGTGCCGCCGTGGCCCCCGGGGCTCTCCAACCTCTGCCCGACCCCCGACGAACTCATGCCGACCCCTAAACCAACTCCGCCGCCCCCGCTAGGCCCGGAAAGCAGTCCACCGGCCAGGGAATATTTGTCCTTCTTCAGCAGGGTCTTGGTCTTCCGTCTCGGCCGGTACTTGTAATCCGGATGCTCCTTCATGTGCATGGCCCGCAGTCGCTTCGCCTCGTCGATGAAAGGTCGCTTCTCTGACTCGGACATTAACTTCCACTCGGCCCCCAGCCTCTTGCTGATCTCGGAGTTGTGCATTTTGGGGTTCTCCTGTGCCATCTTCCTCCGCTGCCCGCGGGACCAGACCATGAACGCGTTCATCGGTCTCTTCACGCGGTCCTGGTTCGCTTTGGAGCCGCTGTTTGGCCCCGTTTGTCCCGCGGTCGTGTTCGTTTGGGGGCCGGGGGAGTGGAGGTCAGTTTCCATCATCATGCTATACATTCAACTGCCTTTTAACTTCACCACCACAGAGGAGAAAAAAAAAAGTCTTTTCTTTTAGACGAGTCTAGCGCGCACAACGGTCTGGTGCGCACCAGTCGGCTGGTCGGAGAATTAGTGATCTAACCCCAAACGGATCAAAAGCAAAGTTAAAAATAATCCAAAAAGGACGTCAAGTGTTTTTCCAACCAGAATTTCACGCTGTCTTCGCCTCGGCTGGATTCACGTCCACTGTGATAGAATGCGCATTTGAGCCACTTTCCCTAAGTCGGAGTTGAGAAGTTGGTTAAAGCGGCGGCCATATGATGCGCACTGACAGCGGTTAAATGAGCCACAAGCGGCCAATGAGGCTCCAGCAGCAGAATGATTTGCATGGCGTTTGGTCAGGTGACTAGAGGACTATGGGGGAAGAACACGCACGCCGGAGAAGGAGGAGTAGGAGTAGGAGGGGGAAGGGGAGGGGGAGGAGGGTCAATCCCCACAAATAGCACAAGGCATTTGAAATTTCCAAACACCCTCTCAAAGACTTTCAACTAAACAGAAATAACTAAGATTTGTTAGCCCCGGGGCGGGGGCCAAAGGGGGGGGGGGGGGGGGGGGGGCACTGTGATTTGGAACATCTTAAATCGTTCAAAATATACACCGTGGATTTGCTGGAGCCTCCATAACAAGCAGCAGTTCGAGTGAAACCACTTTCTCCTGATAATCGCTCTTTAAAGTTGGAACATGAGGCTCGGCTGTTATTTTTACGCACACCACCATCCAGCTGCCGTTCAGCCCCTGTTCTCCGCATCATCTTTGTCTGTGTGTCCCTCCAGGTGTGTAATTAAGGCAGGCAGCACTTGGTGATGAGGAGTAAAATTACACTCACCCAAAGGCAGAAAATGATCTGAAGGAGACTGAGTAAAAACACCGATGGTCCAAAGGTGGGACCGTCGTATAATGGCAATAAATTGTGGGGGCAAAGCGGACTCATCGCCGCCTGCTGGCAACTGCACAGACTACTGTTAATTTGGTGCGAGGTTAAACAATTAAACTAGAGACGTCTGTGATGGTTGGGCTGTTGCTTTCCATCGTCGCAAATATGGACGCAATCAAACTGACATTCTGGAGATGTTTTAAAGTCCAAGTGAGATCCGGCCTTTACTCCCTGGA